ACTGGAGTTCATATCTTAGTCAGGTACAGAGACCTCAGCAGCAGCAAGACTCCACAGTATCTGCATTAGTATCTACATAGCACCAAAAAATGTCCCCACTTGCTCATATCATGAATCCACTATAAAATCATCTCCAGAGCACACACAGGCTGATGTGTCCAGTATCTTTGATCTAGATCTGAGAAACCTTTCCCAGTTCTTTCAAAAATCTTCCTAGATAATACCTTTCTACCTTTTCCCCTCAGACAGACTTGTCAGTACTTCACACCTTTTCCTCAAGCAAGTCAGCATACTCTATCTGTGTGATATGTACTATGACAAATAAAGTTGACTAGTGCAGTACTTGGTGAAAAGAATAAGAGGCTCCAAAGGAATACAAAAGAAGATGACACTGGTGTCATTTCCTCATAGGTGATGCTTTTGGGGACAGATGCTGAAAAAGCTTTGCCTGTCTGCTGCCAAGACTATCCCTCACGTAAGCAGGACCACGGCCACAAACCAACTCGCAGGATCCGGCCTTTGGCCTTCAGTTTAAGCAGTGCAATGGGGTGGAAGAGCAGCAAACACAGGTGCCAGCAGATTATCCAAAGCTTTGCTGAGATTAAAATCTTGTCTCAATATGAGTTATTGCATATTCTCTAAATAGAAATCTCCTTAGTGGTGGCTTTAAAAGGTCTGCTTTTGTTTTCCTCTGAGAGAAAATAAGGGTTGAACCCCAGGCTATGCACATAATAGCTTACACGTTTGTTCCCTATGGCTGTGCAATCTGAACATTTTGCAAATATTTTGCAGTTCCTAGCAAAGATATTGGCTCTGTTAGCTTTCTGTTATTGAAGAGAGAAAGCAGAAATCGAAACGCTTTTACAGGGTTACACAAAAAATGATCCTGATTAATTTCAGAACATGATAACTTGTTTTAGCAATATTCCAAGAACAAAACAAGGAAGGTTAAATCAATGATCCACAGGGATGGAAAAAAGAGATTCAAATAATCATTAAATCTTATTACATAATGCAGCTTTGTTTTTACCTCTCAGAGTGAGTTCACACCTGGGCCTGTGCTGTAAGGGCTCTGCAGTGAGCTGGGCATGATGGAGAATCACTTCTCCAACACAGTACAGTGTAACCTCCACAGCTATAGAACAATTCTTGCTAGGCATTGTAAGTATATGTGGGGATATTCTTCTTTATATACAGCACCACATTTTGAGTGCTTGCCTTCCTCTGCCATCCCTGTTATCACTCCCAGTTTATCCCCATGGTTGCCACTGGTATTTCATAATAGTGTAGGAAATGCTCAGGAGTCCGTGTCATCACGTATGATTGCTTTTCAGAGATTCTCCTGGGCTGTTAAATACCCCAGCTATGAGTGTGCTGTCCCCAACACTCCACCAACACATAATGTGCTCTTTATCTGCATCTCAAGGTGGTGTCTTAATCTCTTATCCACAAGGGACGGGACGAGCATCAGACAACACGCTTTGCTTGCCTTCTTTCACTCCAGAGATGCACTGAAGAGATGACATCTTGTCATGCAAAAAGCATCTTTGTTCTTCTCTCAGTTCCTGCAGAGAGTGCGGTTCTATTGCCCTTCATTGGCTGGGGGCAATTTTACCATTCACCTAAACGAGTTATGGACATAGTAAAGATCCTAGAACTGAGACCAAGCACAGCATAGACAGAAATAACCTGCAGTCACATTCCAAGGACTCTCAAAAGCAAGTGTCCTTTAGGATCAAAAACATGCCAGAAATGCAAACTATTTTATTGTATTGTAAGTTCTTGTGTAAAATTAGCTTTCTGTGATCTTTCAGTAGGGAATACACAGGGGTCCAAGCACTTGAGGCTTGCAAGCCTCGTTCAGGTGTCCAGTGTAGGAGAACTGATGACCATTGACATTAAGTAATTGTGGGATAAAGGTGGTCAAGCTGGAAAAAAACAGGAGATGGGGAATGACCTACACACTGTAGCCTGCCAGGTGCCCTTTGGAGGAAGGCTGTCCTTGGTGGAGTTACGGCAGGAGCAGCCAGTGACACAACAGCTAAGGAAGTTCTGGCTGAAATCATCTTGCAGGGAGAGGTCCCAAAGGGAGAGAAGATTTCTGAAGTGCTAGTGCTGAGGCTTCACCATGATGCACATAAACTTTTCTCATGTGCTCTGGTAGACCTTTCGTATTTATCTATGGTGGCTTTTGCCCAGGAAAACACGGCTCTTTGCTAGTCATCTTCTGAGCCCAGAGAAAAGTACATCCTGAAAAACTGGAGCTCTCTCATCTGGCTTAGTCCTTTCGTCAGAATTTTTTTCTCACTGCTGAACCTTCACTTGGTTTATATGGATTCCCAAGAGAGGAGGAACATGCTGGTAAATCAGTGTTTCTTCCACAACTGAGCTCCAGTTTCATGCCACTATGATAATATAAATATTTACTCGTTTTGTCCCTCTTCACCCTTGTAAGAGGATAAGAGCATCTGGCCCTTTGTTAGTAGTCTATTGTCAGTTTGCTAGAGCATCCACTTGTTTATGTTCACTTGTACAAGAACACATAAATAACCCTCCTCTTTACTGTTTTGCAGAGCACAGACGTGGTTGAAAGGAGGTGTTAAACCTACCCTTCTGACAGGAGTGGAGAATTCTCACCTGATCACTCTTCAGGTGGCTTGCAGAGCTGTATTTGACAACAGGAAATACAAAGCAGTGGAGAACAAGTATCTGTTTTTCGCATTTCAGGACATTTATCCTGGCATTTCTTGCTGTGGTATTTGGCAGAATCTTTTTGGCAACACAGAAAACCTTAAAGCCAACAGCAGGGCAACGGAGAATGAGACTTACCATTTTTTAAAATTGACTGGAATTGCTGGTGGAGGCAGAAATATAGAGTATACTGTTAAGATGTATTTTTAAGGATCTATTTCAAAGTATCATCTGCAGTTCTTCTGTATCTGTGTCATCTCTAGGTAGACTGGTGCTCTGCAAAGCTATCAGTAAATAGAAGGACTACATATTCCTTCCAAAATGAAGATTTTGGAAGGAATATGTAGATTTAAGTTGTCCATGTTGATTTTGATTTAGGGGAGAAAACTCATTGAAAAAAATAAAAATCACTCCAGAATTCAAAAGCAACTGTCAGCTGTTTTTTCTGTTGTTGTTTTTTTTGTTGTTTGTTTGTTTGTATTTAACCACAGTTTCAAGATTGACAGTAGCAAGAATCACAAGAAGCACATTTCTTCTACTATACACAAGTAAGTAGTTAGAAGTTTCTTGGATCGTCTTGATTTCAAATTATCTGTTGAAATTTTGGGGCAGCTCATTCAATAGCTGTTGTGAATAAATGTGTGTAAGAGCTGTGAAGTGAAAGTAAAAGCACTGCAGAGCCAGTTTGGATATCTGTCGACAGCCCTGTTCTATTCCTACCCTCGATTAAGGACTTAATTCTGATAAAATGATCCCCAATGTGACAATATAGGTGTATGTTTAATGTCAAGCACGTGAGGGATCTCATTAAAACTAGTGTGGTTACTTGCACATCTTCCAGCTCACAAGTCTACACCCCTAGAAGCAGGGCATTATTTCACCAAGCTTTTGAAATAGATAAACACTCCAGTTTTGCTGTCTTTTCATGTGCAGTCAGACAAATGTAACAGCTTGCTGCTGCTTAAGGCAGGGGAGTTCACTCCCTCTGCCGCCTTTTCTGTTTCTCTCTTCCCTTTGCTCTTGTCAGTGTAATTTGCTCCATCTCCTGAACCAGATGTGGTGCCTCGAGATTCAGTTTAGAAAACTCCTCCTCACTGAACAGGTTACATTGGCTTCATGGAAGACCTGACAAACCCCTCCACAAGTGTGTGGTAAGGGGCAGGAATGCGCAGCCAGAAGCAGAATAAAGGGGAAGAGGGGAAAAGGGAGTGGGAGGAGAGCCTCATTTTTTCTGCTGCAATGAGGTACTGCATTGAGCCATTTTTTCCTCCTTGCTGAACCATCCGGGATGGGCCTGCTGGAAATATGATTAGCAGGCTAGGTGAACCTTCGTTCTGGTCCAGTATGGGAACACTGGGTTATTATGTTTACATTGTTCTGTTCTTCTCCTTGTTTTTAGCTTTGTAGGAATCAGCCATGGCAGAAGGGAATTCCTGCCTATCCTAGCTTGGATCTCTGAACGGCTGATCCTTGAGATATCTTCAGCAAGGATGGCTTAACCCCATGTCATCCTACCCACTGCACTGTCCATCTGTAACATGTTTTCTTCTCACTCCAAGTTCACCCTCATGTGTCACCTGCGCTTGTTCACTCTGAAGAACAGATGCACGAGCCTGGTTAGATCTACAATTTTAGTTTGAAGAGATGGTAGCTTTTCTTCATGTGGGCAACAGTATTGTTTCAGTCAGAAATCAAACTAGCGAGTTCCATGGGGAAGAAAATATCCAGGGAGAAGAAAATATCCAGGGAGGTACTGATGGTCTTTTACACCACATTGGAGGGGGTTCTGTAATTGATATTTGGGAAGAAACATGCAAGAGTCAATATCAGACTCAGGGAAGGTGGCGTTCAGGATCTGTCACTAGTGACACAGCACTTCTTGCACTTCTGCAGCAAACTCCTCCTTGCAGGGCGCAGCCAACATGATCAATATGCAATCACTTTCAACCATCAGAGTCTTGTTTCTATTAACTTTAATGCTAACATTTATTTGATTACAAAATATAGTATTTTCTATGAACCCTTTCTATAAACAGAAGAAAACTTCTCTTTAAATGCCTGGGATTGCTAAGCAAGCTTTATGTTAAACACAATGAACTTAAGCAAGGCTTTTTTTTGGTTTTGTTTCTTGCTAACTGCAAGAGAACACATCTTCATTTCTTTGCATTAAAATGCAAATTGGAGATAATATTCTTGACCATGATGTGAGATTGTTTACAAGGGACTGAAAAGAAGCCTTCTATGAAATATGGGTATTAGAATATGAAATGAAGTGAAAAAAATAATTTGATCAAATATTTTGCTTCATACAGGCAATAGAAAGGAAATGGAGCACCTGTACAGAAGTTCACTTAGGCGTATTACTGCTGTGGCAGCGAGATGAATGGTGATGAGGGCAGCGCTGTGCAGATGAGTGGGAGGAGTGGGGGAGGCAACGAAACAAGGTAACTTAAAACCATTTCTGTGCTCATTTACCTACTGCATTCCCAATCAACTTTCCAAATAAATTAGAGGAGATGAAGAATGTCTCCAATTTGCAGCAGCTGCTAGTTGCCTTGCACAATTAAAATGTGCAGAAAGGTACCACTGTGCTCCGTGGTCTGCAGGGGCCATCGACACGCACAGAAATAGCATTGGTGTCTCCAGAATGGTCTCCTCTGTTTGTCATCCAGGACTGTGTTATCCATACATGGGAGCAGGATTCTGTCTATGGACGCTCAGTTCTGCTCTGGAACTGCAGAAATATCTGAGCATAAGTTTTCCTTTCTGTCCAGCTCTGTCCTCAGTTCATCTCAGCACACATATCCTTGAAGATGGCACAGGTTGCTGGTAAGTCAGCAAATGAAGTGTTGATAAAGGCCCTGTTCTCTTCTCCTTTGTAAAAAGTATGTTTTCTCTAGCAGAGAAGATGGGAGTGTCCTTTTGTTGTGTGCCAAATAGAGCAAGTATTTATTTGATGGTAAAAGAATCAAGCTTACTCCCCTTAAGAAGCTATTTTCACATTTGCATTTGTTTGAATGAAAATCTTTCTCACATGTTTTAGATGCGAAGTAGTAATGCTTCATGTGCTCCATTTATTTGTTTATAAGGAAATTAATTTATGTAGATGTGTATGTGTATGTACAATGGATAACAATGCGTGGTACAAACTATACAAATCATGCAGAAAAGAAATCTGCCACCAAATTGTGTCATTCTGTTTTTTGCCAGAAATAAGTATCTGTGTCTACATTTCATCTTCTCACCCCTACATCAGTTTCAATGCCACGGTCTTCCTGATGATCATGCCACCAGAAGATGGCACTGAAAAACCCTGTCCTACAGGTAGGCCCAAGGAATAGGAAAACAGGTTCACAAACTGGTTTTGAATTTGTGGATATAAAAGAATTCAAAAGGTACCTCTCCTGCATAACACTTGCTTTTAGGAAAGGCTTTTTTTTTTTTTTTTTTTTTCATTTTATTCTCAAGCACAATGTTGAAGAGGCTGAAAGTCAGCCAACCATCTGTCGCGGACGGAGTGATTAACTTCACTAGTTAGAGTGAAGTAGTGAAATATTTATTAAGGTGAAACAGTGACTTAACAAAATCAGTAGTAAGTGTGATAAAACCAGTAGTAAATGCGATAGTGTTTTACGAGATTTGATGTCAAGGCACACTCTATTATTTACTGCATAGAGGACAGGGTCAGACAAGCTGTCAGGGAGACCCTCCCGTTGAGTCACGAGGTTCAGAAAGGACCCCCTTGCTTTCTAAACTCCTTCTCAGAGAGGAGTCTAGGTGCTGCTGGATCCAGTCCTAGTCCCAGACTTGGTCAACGGTTTATGTCTAAAGGATTATATATGCGCAATCAATCCTTTACATTACTGAGCTAAGATTTCAAAGTTTAGCATGCTGTTAGTCACTTACCGAGAATCTGTTGCGGCAAGGAATCTCTCAACCTCGAGGAGTAGAGCCTTAAGCAAGTGTCCTCACCAAAGGGGAGATCCTGGCGTGCAGCCGCTGCCATACAGGAGAGCTCTAAGGGCTCTTGGGCTGTCCGCTATTTGTACAGTAAGATAATTGACCTAGAGTCATATTCTCATGCGACAAAATTTCTAGGTTCCCGCTCCAGACAGTATTTTGACTGTGTTGCCAGCCATCCCCCAAAATCCAGGTACAAGTTATCACAACTGACGTTGTGGAGGAGCAAAACAGGGAGAGCACAGCGCCACACCATCATACCTGGTGAATGCTGTCTTAGGTTGCCTATAACCTACAAACACATTGCCATTTTCGCAAGTCCTCTTACCAAACTACAACACTGCTGAGCTTTCAAATACAGGACCTTATAAGAAAGAAAGAAAGAAATGTTTTTTCTGGGAATTATTATTTATAATTGCTGTTTTCTGACTGGACAATCAAGTCACTTTGAATAAAGCTGTATTTCTGACAGAAAAAAGGCAATCCTTCAACTTCACATGGAAACATATTTTTTAAACTTTACTAAAAAGTACAAAGGCTTTTCTAGTGACATGAATGTTTTCACCTTTTAAAGTCATATCTGGTATATATTAAAGACTTCTTTGGCTTCATGTTGAATTTCAGTAAAAGCATATTCCTGTCTTAAAATGCAAAGCAGTGATTTCAGATAGGTTCTTACTATTGAATGAGAGCTGGAGGGCTGTAAATCCTTCAGAGTCAGTAGCAGTTAGAGACAGACAAGAAGAAATTAACTATATATAATATTTTGGTTGGAAAATGGTAGCTATTACAGAAAATTTACAGATTACAAGACGGAAACTTGTTCATATCTTTCTCTCCAATAGCTGTAGCTTCTCATGAAGACTGATGAAAATGTCTTCAATATGATCCAAATGGCACTTAAGCCTCAGGGTTCACTTCATGCCTTTTGATGCATCCCTGATCAGGCTTTGTTTTGGGATATGTGATGGTATAGGACCATTAACCGTTACCAGTAAGTACTAATGTTAATTACATTGAGCACAATCCTCCAGTTGGTCCATCTGTTATTAATTTCTTATACGTTATCTATTCTTGTTTGGGGTTTTCTCTGTGCTCCAGGAACACGTCTTCTAGTTTTATTCTGGCTTAATTTAAATGATGTTAGCTCCTGTATGCCTCAGTGAAACACTTCTGTGCTTTTTTAAATTTAGCTTTCATTTTTCAAGTGATTTTTGAAGATTATGTTTGCATGTGATTTTAATGTTTAGTTATGGTGTTGCATCTGAATCTTTATCTTATTAAACAACTTTAACATCTTGTATTTCATATAGTGCACCTTTTGAAAAAATCAATCTCAGTATATTTTTGGATTTGGGCTCTTTCCCTCAGGTTTGAATACCGCCTTTTGTTTCTTCGCTATCATCATGAAAGTGGTTTCCGTTTCCCGTACTAAATTTCTCTTTCTTTTTCAGATGGTTATCAACTGAAAACAGTATTTTCAGTATTATTCCTCTGCTGCTTTACTCCTGGTGGGAGCTCAGCCCCGCTGCTGCCTGAAACGGTAGTGCCGCAGACAGGTTGTAGCTCTACGGCCATCAGCCCGCAGCGCTTCGTGCACCGCAACTAATTGCTGTGAAGTAATAAGCCGACATAAAGCAGTCAGATTAGGATTTAGATAATTGCAGTATGTTTAAATGCGGGCTCCTGGCTGTTAGTTACCGTGGTGGGGAGCCGCCGGGCATAGCCGGGCGCGCAGCTCCATCTCCCGGGCAGCGGGGAAAGCCACCGGCGGCCGGGATGAACCCACCACAGACCCGGCCACCGGCGGGGGACAGGGAGCCCTCCCTTTAGAAATGCCGTCAGGACACTTCGAAGATTGTTTCCCTCTGCTTGGGGAGTATCTCAGCCTTTGCCTGACAGGGCAGTACAATATGTCGTGGCTGAAGAGCACTACAGAAAATTCCAACATCTGGCTTGGGGATGGAAAAACCTGGAAAGCTGAGCACAAAGCAAGTTTGGGAAATAGGGTTTGGGCACAGAGGCATGTTCTCCTCCTCTGTTTGGTAAGTTTTTCAGAGATAAGCAGTGAACTGGCCCTGAGAAACACTTTAGCTGTAAAATTTGAGGTTTCATAAATCTAAAGGGTGGGTTGAGGTTAAGGTTAAGTTTAGGATCTGGGAAAATAAGTGCTGCAGAAGCAGGTTTTCTGCTGGATTTTGCAGTCATGAGATTGGTACAGTCATATATGAATGCCTCGTTAAACTTGGAGGAGCCATAGGTGTTTAAGATCTTGTAGGCTGACAGTTGCAACTCTCTCTAGAGTTTGGAAAAGGTAATTTGGAGGCATCTTTTCTGTTGTATGTGTAAGGCTCCCGGAGGTAAAGGGAAGGTAGGTCTGAAGATATTTAATGGTTTTATGCAAACTACCCAGGGCAACAGGGCAGTTGAGGTCAAGTTCAGGAAAATAGATCCCAGAAATAGTTTCTCGTGGTGAAAGTAAGGCTTATAGAGATATCTTTCCTGCTGCAAAGGCCCATGAGATCATTTGAGAACAGGCATCTACATGCCTTATTCTTATTTTTGGGGTAGGAAGAGTGTTGCTATGTTTTTGTGAAGTGAACAGAGAAGAGAACAAGGACTGCAGGATCAGGTTTGCATTATGTTTTTGCAAGGTCTCCTCAAAGATGAGTAAGAGCTGGTACAAAGGAAAGATTTCATCTTGAACTCTTGGATAGCTCTCCTGAAAGTTAGGGTCAAGGCTTGTCTTCTGGTAGCCATACAAGTAAATACCAAGCTGAAGTGAGGAGAATCTAATGTGATATTCTTGATTCTGGTGTAGCTTAAGCAACACTTTATCTTACCTGTTTAAGGGTTCATGTTTGGTTACAGAGTAGGAAGCAGTGCTTTCAAAGCCCAGACAGGGCTAGTACTGATAGATGTCACTGCCTCATATTTAACTTCAAAGCAGCCATGAATTTCAGGGATTTGGTCAGGACTAGTGTTAAGGTTTGGAATTCTGCAGAAGTCATTTATTTGCAGGTTACTACAGAATTTCTGCAGGTTATTTTACGAAGCCTGATGCAGTTAGCTTGCGGTTTGTAGTTGTGGATTTAAGGAGCTTAATTTTTTGGGCAGCAGGTGGTGCTTGGTCTACACGATCATTTTAGTAGCCATTAACCATTGAACGGCTTGCTATGACATAGCATTCAGTAGTGGGTGCTACATGCTGCCCATTTTTCACTGAGGGCTTTCAGCAGGACAAGTGATGTGGTTATGTGTGTTTGTCATGGGATTGGTGTTTGTGCAAATCACTAGGATAACCGGGATTAACCGGAGGATGGAGCATGTATATGGTTGCATTTTAAGCAAATCATGATCAGGATGGTTATGATCAGGAATATCAGAAATAAAGGGAGAGAGAACTCTTGCCCCTGCTTCATGTAGTCGTGAAGCCAGCTGACACATCCATGCCTGAATCTGTCTCTGAAAAACAGGATAGGGAATCCACATCCAGAAAACACAAATATGCAAATCAGCAGGTGCTGCTTATTTCCAGGCCCCCATGCACATCCATGGGGTGGAGGCCCCAAGTAAAGTGTGGAGTATGGTCATTCAGCCCATCTTGCCTGGCCACAGCACTCTGAAAGGGGACTTTGTCCTCAGTGTTCTCCTTTCCATGGCCGTGAGCTCTACTTTCACACATGAGCTAGGCAACGTTTTCAGACTTGCACCAGTGACTTGGGAGCCTACATCCCATTTCCAAAGGCGATAAAATGAATCAGAAGGCCAAAGACGTGCACCTGTGGCAGCCGGAGCAGCCCTGAGCCGAGCAGGCTGGGAAGCCATGGTAACATGGGGCCCCCCCTTCTCCCAGCTCTGCCAAGGATGAGATGCTCAGCAGGGGCGAGCACAGCTACTGGCACTGGCACAAGCAGTGCCAGACTAGACAAATTAGGACATGATGTTATGGTTTGAGAAACCCCATAACAATCTATTGTTGTTTAGTCAATTATTCTATCCCCTCCCCACTCGGAAAGGGGAATTGGGGAACACAAAGAAACACAAGGGTTGAAATATAAATAGATTTAATAGACTAAGACTAAATAATTAACAATAACACTAAAGAACCAGTGTTAATCCCGATACTGATATAAGATATACAAGAATTATTCTCAGCCAGTTCTCTCAGCAGGAAGCTGTGCACTCCCAGCAGGGACAGCAAATGGCGGACACTGCCAGCGCAACGGCTCCAGGAGGAAGGGAAGGCCTCAGGGGTCTGGCACTGAGGCAAGGAGTTGCCTGTACCCACCACCGTCAAGGGAGAAAGAGCTACGCAGCAAACTTTTCTAATTTATATTGAATGTGCCATTCATGGTATGAAATAATCCTGTTGGCCAGCCTGGGTCAAATGCCCAGGCCTTGCTCCTCCTTGTCCCTGCACCTGACAAGGCTCAAAAACACTAACCTTGAATCCCACAGAGCCTGGCTGGCTATAAAGTAAATATTTTCATAAATTCAGACTTCTAAAAGTGCAAGTTTCCCCAGCATTAGAAGAAAAGTTAGTCCTGTGTCTCTCAACCCAGGACACATGAAAATAATGAAAAAATAGCTACTGTTTTACTGTCAAAATATACCATGGATATACGTGGGTTATGAGGGTGTCTTTGTTTTAACTGGAAGTGTTGTGTCTCTCCATTTCTGCTGAAGGTTTTAATCTCGAATCAACCAGCACAGCCAGGTCTGAGGAGCAGAAGGACACTTCTTTGGCTTGTCTTGTGTAGCCTGCAAAAGCACCTGTAGATAAATGCTAACAGTAAGGAACTGAGAATCTCAGGTTGCTTGGAAATCAAAAAAGCCATCAATCATTGTTCTTGCTTACTATACCCTGAAAAAGCAAAGTGGTAGTGTCACAGATATGTAGTCCCTGACAATTGTTGACAAGGCAAAAACGTGTACCTAGCTCCGTTGAAGCCACTGGCAGGATCCCATGACAATGTCCCGTCTCGTCTGGTCCAGCGCCCCAAGGGGATGTCCAGACACATCAGCATGTGGCTGGAGGATGGGACTGCTGAGACCCAGGTGCAATTGAGCTCTCTAATACAAGAAAGGAGCTATGACACACCTGCAATAATATAACACAGTTACGAAAGAGGAGGATTTTCACTGAAATAGCATCCGTCAGTGGTTGCCGTGTGCTGCGCCCATCCCTGTAAAGGGAAGCAAATCCCCACCTGTGCTGAAAGCTGTGGCTCTTGCAAACGTCACACCACACGACAGCTGCTGGGTAGTTGTGTGTGTGCTTGTGCATATGTAGATTACAATTATAAACCCATTCAAAATGTTGAGAAGTTTTAAATCTAAATTCCCATTAAAAGTATTCCCTCATTAATTGGATTTTTTGTTTTTCTGAAAGTGGTAATATTACCTTGACACAACGTAACATATTGACACTTGGAAGAAGGCTTACAGGTTTCAGATATTGACACGGCTTTTCAAAAATTTTAAAAATGAAACTGTTTTCATTTAGGTGCCAACAAATTTAAATGTTCACTCTCACAGTTCCAAAGAAATTTGGTATTTTTGTGTTATGTGGTATTTTCAATGCTGACACTTGGTGGTGCTGCAGTTAATAGGTTCATTTTTTTCTGCAGATGTTTCTCTGCTGTGGCTGGTTTGTTCCTTTCCGTCAGTTGCAGATATTTCTTGGGATGTAATAGCCCCTCAGAAGAACTTTGTTCACATTCCTAAGGAGGCATGATCCATCTTTCGGCAGTTCTTAAGGCAATATTATTATTACTAATACTAATAACACCACCAACAACAATAATAAATATTATAATACGTCTGCCTTTATGGTACACATTTCCTTACAAAATGTGTAAGTATCATTCTAGTGAAACAGTGCAAATAAAGGCATGGTCCAATAATTATAAACATCATCACAGAGGGGAAGGTCTGAAAGGGATCTTGAGAGATCATGGAGTCCATCCACTTCACTCAGGAGCACAGATAGCTGAAGGTCTGACCAACCTCTTCTTGAATACCAGAGTAGGCTTTATGGGAATAGCTCAAATGCTTTTATGTGTTTTTTCATGCGCATCTCCCACATGGGATCTTTGCCTAAATAAAGATGAGAGATGAAGCACGCAGGGTTTGGGTGTTCCAGTCTCACAGGCAAGAAATAGTCATATCTGCCAGTGGGCAGTGGAACAGAGATTCTTGCTTGTCCCAGCATTTCTGTGGGGCTCATCTGTAAGTTCACAGATGCCAGAGGAACTGCAGGAGACGAGGAGCTGCGCGGATGTCCTGCTCCATTGCTTTGCCCTGAAAGTCTCCAGGTTTTCCTCCCAACATCCCCGAAACTTGGCATGCCCACTGGCTTTTTCCCCCCAGGAGCCCTTGCAGATACTCATAGCGTGAAAGGAAGTGTTGCAGGTGATCCTGGAATGATCAGCAGCAAGGTTTCCCTGTTGCAAAGGAGACACATTCCTGTGTGGGAGGCGGGCAACGCTGTGATGAGAAGCTGTGTCTCTGTTCCCCCTCTCACTGGCTCAGCTTTCCACCTTCACACAGCAACAGCCCTCGGTTTCAGGCAGGAAATAACCTGTAGGGACAAATGTTCTTAATTATTAGGACAAAGATTACTTGTTTAAATGCAGATTCTTAATATTAATAAAAAAAATAATCAAGATACGTCATTGTAATTAAATCGAATCTGTTCATTTCTCCCCAAAGATTTCCCTTTAAATCTAATTTATTATTTGGTTGGTTAATTAGTATCAAAGACCCAAAGAAGTGGTGGTTCACACATGATAAGCATGAGCTAGAGCATGACTGCTATTACGGGCTTCCTGGGAAGCGGTCAGGTTACAGGCTCTGAGAAGCAGTGCTCTAGTGACAAAATGCAGTGAACATAGACATATCGAAGAAATAAGGTGAAGAAGCACAACGAACGTGCTCCTGCTGAAGCAACAGCAGCACTAAGCTGATGTGGAAAAACTGCCTTCCTAGGCAGGAAAATGTGCTCTCACTTGGTGGTATTGTGTGGTGAAAGCCTCAAAACATATGGTAGGATCAATTTTGGTTTTGGACACATGTTTTAATGCTTTTTAACATGCAAGCTTCATATTTCACTGGTCTTGGTAGATAAAAGTGAGCTTCTTGTAACATCCTGCTCCTTTGCAGCGGCTGATTTTATATGTGTGGACTTTGGACTTGGGACAAATGGAGGGAATTATGCGCTGGCAGGAAAGTAAGAGATGCCCATCATCAGATTGTGAATGGGAGAAATTAGAACATATACCACTTACTTAATGTCTTTAAAAAATTAAAAAAAAAAAAAAAAAAGAAAAAGTAGCCTGGAAGTTCCTTTTGTTATTTGAACAGAATATTATTTTTACCAGAAGAAAAGCTTGTTTGCCTGTTTGTATTTTATTGTTTTATTTTTATTGTAGGTGTAATTCCCTCTTTCGGTTAATATCTGAAGATTGGATGTTTTCTAATAGAAGGATTTTTGTTTAACCTTTGCCTGTGGAATAAAGTTTGTTTTCCTTTGCACCCTGAGGTCTGTCCTTTTTACCAAAGGATAGTCTTACATGTGATTTTCCCCTGGAAATTAGAGAGCAACCCTGCCTCTTCTGGGAAGTGAGAGAGTAAAACCTAGTCTGACATATTTAAAATGTTTTGCTAAACTCTTCTTCAGAATTGTGCTCCAGTTGATTTTAAATCAGCTTTAAAGTTGATGTCAAACATTGCTTGAACTCTCTTATTTCAGTCTGCAATATACCTAATAGCTTGTAAGTCATTAATTTACAGATGCATATTTACAGATGCACTTGCATATCCTGTTACTTCTGCTGAAACTCCCCTACCATGGCATGGGAAAACTCCAGGAGGATTTTGCCACTGTTCTCTAAGAACCCATTTCCAGTACTAATTCCATTACTTTTGTCAGGAAGAATTGTTTTTCTTTTAAATGTACTTTCTACTTTTTTTCTCAGAGAGACACATACCTGTTAAGCACAGCTGCATATGCATTTCTTTCTTCTTTTCCCAAGTGTCCCATTTAGTCTTGTCAGAAGATTTGATTTAGACATTCTATGTTCTCAGGATGGTTTTCATCTCGCAGGGCTGGATACAAGCTGGGCCTTGCAAAGGGAGCCAAAGCCACAAATTTCATGAAGAAAAATGAGCAATAGTTCTTTGTACGCCACATACCCCATGCATGCCTACCTTGTACCAAAGCAAGAAACTCAGCAGACAATAAAAGCAGGCGTTGCCAGGATCTTGCTCAGCCAGAGCCCTGAGATGGCCAAGACGCTTCTCCACCTTCCTGGTGCTGGTACTCTCTGGCAGGGCTTCTGTCTTGGTTGGAGATGCTCTAGAGAGAGCTTGTGCCTCCACCTGGGTTTGGGTCTAGGCAGATTGCGTGTTTTGTATACATTACTGCTCATAACACTGAATTTGGGAAGAAAGCAAAGATTGTGTGGTTTTAGATTTGAGATGGTAAAAAACATATTAAATATAGAATTTTATTAGAAAAAGATTTTAGATAGCAAAATAAAAGTGATTCATTCCTGTTTGAATGAGACCTTCATGACAATAGGTATGCTTCATCCTGAATAAAGAAAAACTTGCCTTAAACTGCCACTTAGAGTATAAAACACATTCACTCAGGTTTAGAGAAAGATGAACAACAAAAGAGAGGCTGAGATGGACCTCAAACTGAACCCCACTCCAAGATTATATTCACAATTTTAGTATTGTTTGGGTGCAAGTCTTTCTTTAGGATAACAAGAAAACTGGCATTAGTGCTCAGCTAATTCACAAAGCAGAAACCAACAGTGAAGAACTAAACCTTCTTCCAGGACAGATGATCTAATATATAGACTGTATATAGGAGGCAGTGGGAAGTGGATAATCCCATTCAGAGCCAAAATGAACACTCCCTGAGGAAGCTTTGCTGGCTGGCAGATGATGGATATAGCAGCATGATCCTCTCGGGAAGAGTAGCTGTATCCAAACACTCCTTCCCAGACCTCCTGCACTACTGGGCACTGCAGCCCAAACCCAGCACCTATGTCTCTCTAGGTTGTGCTCCATCT